CATGGCATTCTTTTAAATTATAAATCAATCATGGCAGTCCCTGCTCATTACCGTCTGTTGGCCTCACTCTACTGTCAAAATAAACTCCAAAATTTGACAGATTATTAGCAGACTGCTAGAAATGCTACCTAATCCTATTTCACCTCTGTTTCTCTTTCTCTCCTTGGTTAGCTTTTGCGACTTCACAGTATGCAGGAAAGTTACTCTGCATTTATTCTGACCATAATGTGAGTTCCTTGAAAAATTTAGTCACATCCAAGTATCTTTTGTGTGTGATGTTGGAATCGCCTTTGTGTACCACTCCTGGGTGGCCTTTGTGTGACATAATGGAATCACCTTTCAAAGTCAAACCTGAGTCACTTTTGTGCCTCTAGCACCCAGCACACAAACTGGAACACAACTGGTCCATGATAAAGCTTTGTCAAATAAAAGAAGATTTGGAACCAAGAAATTTGGGGTTTTGGCTAGCTGTGGTGGCTCACGCCGGTAATCCCAGCACTTTGGGAGGTCAAGAAGGGCAGATCACTTGAGGCCAGGAGTTTGAAACCAGCTTAGCCAACATGGCAAAATCCCTTCTCTACTTAAAATGCAAAAACTAGCAAGGTGTGGTGGCATGCACCTGTAATTCCAACTACTCGGGAGGCTAAGGCACGAAAATCACTTGAACCCAGGAGGCAGAAGCTGTAGGAAGCAGAGATTGTGCCACTGCACTCCAGCCTGGGTGACAGTGAGACTCTGTCTCCAAAAACAAACAAACAAAACCCACAAAATTTGGGTTCTAGCAGTGGCTCTGCAGATATCTTTAAAAAATTTAAATAAATACTGAACAATAATGGTGGCCCATGTGCTGTGCATTGGAGAGTCACATACTTTATCATTCTCAGATCTCCCAACAATACTGTGATGTAGTTATCAATGCATCACTTCACCGATAAGGAAACTGAGGCCCAGAACAGTATATAAACTGGTCAGATTCACAGGGCCACGAAATTGACATACTGAAGTCGTAACATAAGTCCCTGGATTCCGAACCCAGTATCATTTCCGGTATACCAGGCTGCCTTAAGAACTGCTGTGTCGGCCGGGCACGGTGGCTCACGCCTGTAATCCCAGCACTTTGGGAGGCCAAGGTGGGTGCATTACCTGAGGTCAGGAGTTTGAGATCAGCCTGGCCAACACGGCGAAACCCCGTCTCTACTAAAAATACAAAAATTAGCAGGGTGTGGTGGCATGTGCTTGTAATCCCAGCTACTAGGGAGGCTGAGGCAGGAGAATCGCTTGAACCTAGGAGGCAGATGCTGCAGTGAGCCGAGATTGTGCCACTGCACTCCATCCTGGGTGACAGAGCAAGACTCTGTCTCCAAAAAAAAATTAAAAACTGCTGTCATCGTGGTTCAAGTCTCTTCTCCTCACTCAGTCCTATGCTTCATGTACAAAACATGGGAATAAATCAACCTGTTCTGTCCACCTCACAGGGTGTGAGAGAGACAGAGGGAAAAGCATACAGTTATGCACAGTGTGAGTTACAAATGTCTTCCCTCTGACTTGTGTGGTAGGCACAATTCTAAAGATGTCCCCCATTCCAAGATTTCAGTGCCCTTGTTATTCAATTAAACACTAATCTAAATGCTTCAGTGAAGGGACTTTGCTGTTAAGAGTGAAAGTGACTAATCAGCTGATCTTAAATTGAGGAGATCATCCTGGACTGAGTGAATGTAATGTAGTCACCTGAATCTTTCAAAGCAGAAAAGTCAGAGATTCAGGAGAAAGAAAGGGAACAGATGAGCCAGAAGCAGAGGTCAGAGAGATGTGAAGCATAAGAAGGATTTGACTCACCATCGTTTGCTTCGAAGATGAAGGAAGGAAGCTACGAACCCATGAAGGCGGTTCCTAGAAGCTGACAATGACCCCAGCAGACAAGCTAGCAAGGGAAAGCATGGAACTGATTCTGAATGTGATTGGAAATGGGTTCATCCAAAGAGACTCGAGGAAGCAATATACTCTTGACTCATCTCTCTTCTCAGTGATGTTTTGATTCAAGAACCAGCCCTCTGCTTTTCCATTCTGATTTCTGCCTTTTAAAAAACGCCTCTTCCTCACATCAAGATGCTACTCAGGCTTCCAGATAACAAATTCCTATCTCTCCATCATAACCCCCTTTCCTTTTTTTTTTTTTTAACTGGCAAAATCCCTCGTCCTCCTTTAATTTACAATCTCACATCAAAGGTTGGAAAGAGCCCTGGGCTGGTTCCAGCTGGGGCTTTGCCAGTAACTCGCTGGATAGCTTTGGGCAAGTTCTGTCCCCTTTCAGCTTCCCCCTCCTTTTCCTCCTCGGCAAAATGGGAGGGTTATTGCAAAATATGTAAGGGTCCTTCAGACTAAAAAACTCTGATTTCTCACATATGTAATCTCAGCACTTTGGGAGGCTGAGGTGGGAATACCCCAGAAGTTTTAAGCCCAGAAGTTTGAGACCAGCCTGGGCACATAACGACACCCTGTCTCTATAAAACATTTAAAAAAATTAGCCTGGCATAGTGGGCGCAGCTACTCTGGAGGCTGAGCTGGGAGGATCTCTTGAGCCTGGGAGGTCGAGGCTGCTGGGAGCTGAGATTGTGCCACTGCACTCCAGCCTGGGTGACAGAGCAAGGCACTGTCTCAAAATGCATAGATGAATAAAATAATAAAATAAAATTCTGATCTCTTCCCAGTCTCATTTACTTCTCTAGGCCCTGGTGTGTGCATGAGTCGTCTTCACAGGTCATCTCTTTTCCCTCCCCCTAAATTATCATTTCTTCTTCCATATTTACCACCTAGTCTCAGGTTCCAAAGAGCTCCAGCCTGGTCATTCCTTAGCACTGTTTCCTTGAAAATCGAATGTCCTCCTGAATTTTTGATCAAGCGAGTTTGGTTGACTTCCTATTACTGCTTTCAGTGACCCCAGATGCTCCCGACTGTGTACACAAACACAGGGAGATGACTAACGTAGAGTAAGCCTAACCGATTCGCTGGCCTGGGAGTCCCCGGGGGCCTCGCCAACCTCCTTGCACGGGGATACCCACCCCGTGAAGCCCCGCCCCCGCGAGCCCGCCGGAGTCTGTCCAGAGCCAATCAGGGCCTGATCCTTCGCGCGGGTGCTGCTGGGATGCGCGCCTCAAAGGAGAGCCCGCGGGTCTCCCGAGCCAGAGCTAGTCAGGAGCAACCGTTGCTCCCGAGTCCTTCGGCCATTGAGGGAATCGTTTTCCCTGGGCTTGTGGTTCCAGACCCCCACCAGTGGTTTAGACTCCAGGCCAAATGAGTTGCTAAGGGACATTCCCCTCTCAACCTAGTACGTGCGGGAAGTCGAGCCATGGACATGATGGCCAGTGCTGGACCCCCAGGGCTGGTAAGAAGGCATCCTGTGTGCTCCTTGTTTCCTGTCCTGCCCCCGAGGCCCCTGGCCCTAAGAAAACGAGACACACCATGAAGCCCAGGCTCTCGGTTCCCATTCCCAAACCCGCCTCTGACCTATCCCCACCCCGTCCCGGTTCTCTCTCCTGTTCCTCGTCTAGATTTCATTCTTTTTTGCCTAACACTGGCACTCTCCCTCTCCCCAGCCTGGTCTGCCTCTCCCTCCCAAAGAGACGATGTATCTTTAGTAGAAGCAAACGCCAAACCTGTTATATAGAGGCTGCTGCTGCTGCTTTTTTTTTTTTTTTTTTGAGACGGGGTTTCGCTCTTGTTACCCAGGCTGGAGTGCAATGGCGCGATCTCGGCTCACCGCAACCTCCGCCTCCTGGGTTCGGGCGATTCTCCTGCCTCAGCCTCCTGAGTAGCTGGGATTACAGGCACGCACCACCATGCCCAGCTAATTTTTTGCATTTTTAGTAGAGACGGGGTTTCACTATGTCGACCAGGATGGTCTTGATCTCTTGACCTCGTGATCCACCCGCCTCGGCCTCCCAAAGTGCTGGGATTACAGGTGTGAGCCACCGCGCCCGGCCCTGTATAGAGGCTTCTATTTCTGCTGCACAGAGGTTTTGAGTTGAGGATCGAAGCCTCTATATAACAGGTTTGGCGTTTGCTTCTCATACAGCTGCGCTGAGGCATAAAAAGAAATAACCCTTCACAAGTGAGGACAAAACCTAAATTTCTCACTAGAGCCCTTGAGGCCCTGCAAGTTCTGGTCCTTCAGGAGCTCACGCCTCAGTCAGCTCCAGTCACAGCAGCCTGCTCTGGGTTCCTGAACTCACTCAACCTCTCTCGTGTCAGAGCCGTGGATCTGCTGCTCCCTCTGTCTAGCCAGCTCCTACAAATCCGGTAGGTCTCAAGGAAGTATCACTTTCTCTGAGAGGCCTTCTCTGACTCTGTAATCCAACCTAGGTTCCTCTCCTGCACTTTCTCATAGTATTCTATCCTTTTTTCTTTCTAGCACTTATCAACATTTTATAAATTTGTCTGCATTTCTTCATTATCTATCTATGTAGATCATGACTCCAAGGAGGGAGGGCCAGTGTCTTCCTTCTTTCCCTCATCATCTGGCACGTGTGGTATTTCTGTGAAATGTGAACTGCCTATAAAGAGGTGCTTATGCATGTGGGGACTAATATCAATGTCCACCCTGAGTATAAGATGACCATGTAGCTGGTGCTAAGGATCACTGTATTTACTCACAAATACTGCCCCAGGGGAGAGATGACCCTCTTTCCACCTGCTGAAAACTACTAGCATCTGGCTAGAAGGGAGTTTGTCATCCATTCTGAGAGGAACAATACACAGCTGTGGTCCATTCTAATGCCAGAATCCCTTTCCCATTCCTTGCATGCCCGCCTTTCAATCTGACCAAGAAATATTGCAATAACCTCCTATCATCTTTAACCTCCAGCCTTACCCCTTTTAAATATATCACGTATGGAGTCAGGGTAGGAGAATGATGTTTCTGTATATATCTGGTCACTCCACTTGCTTGTTTCAAACCTTGTTTCAAACGACAGCTTATAATTAATTAAATCATTTGACAAACATTCTTGAGATCTTATTGTATTTTAGGTATCATTCTAGGTGCTGCTGATTAAAGCAGAAAGCAAGGCAGACAAAATCCCTGTTCTCTTAGAACTTACATTCTAAGGGAGTCGGGATAAGGTCCTACAAGATAAAGCTCCAGAGCTCCAGTGAATCTTGGCATTCAGGGCCCATTGCCATGTTTTTTCTCACCTGCATCTCTGAACAGTACTTTTCACCCTCTCTCCACCCAGATATGGGTCACGTGATGTTTAAGGGTGGGGGAATGAAAGATCTTGCCCAAAGATACACAGCCACCAAGCGCTGAAGTTGGGATTCTATCCAGATATGATGGATTCAAAGCCTGGTGCTTTTGTAGCTGTATCTCCGGTACTGGGCACACAGGAGGGGCTCAAAAGCAGCTTGCTGATGGACTCGATTCATACTGCCACACGTATTTTTCCTTCTTTTGATACCTTCCCAGGCTGGAGCAGATTTCTTCTGGTTTAGCCAAACAACAAATGATAAAGTTTGCCTTCAGAGGTTCTAAGACTGGGTCTACGAGCCCCCTATTCAATGGAAAATGAGTGTGAGGGATGTGTGGGAACTGAGAGAGTTTTGTGAGCAGAGGAGAGTCCAGGGGGCTCCAGGTTTATTATAGCCTCCATGGTTTCTGTGGGCTCTCTAAATTTTGCAGGCTTTTGTAATTCCAGGGATAATGGTGACTCCAGGTCTGACACACATTCCACAGGCTTAGCTGGCTCGTTTATCTTGCTTTTCCTGAAAGCGAGATGCAAAATAGGACAAAGAAAGAAGAATGTGGGAACAGGTCTAGAGGTGAGGTATCCAAATCTTTAAAAGACACTCCTTGTGCACAGAATTAAGGCAACATGGAGTGAGCACTGGCTTAGCCCTTCTTCACAACCCCATGGTTGGAGCCTGCAACTGGTCTTCTTCTGGTCCCTCTTGGTGCATCCTCAGTACCGATAACACTGACTGTTCCTCAGACTCCTCAGGGAATCCTGCCTAACTTCCTCATGCAGGTTTGGTCCCTCCCTCTTCTGCCCCACCATAACTCCCTGGCTCAGCATTCCCTACTGTGAAGGTGCCTTCTCCACCAGTCTGGTTGCTCTCTGAGGACAAGGCCTAGATTTGACCCATTTCTGAGACCCCAGCACAAAGATTAGGAGATATTGCAGTAAATACTGGTGAAATTTAACAGATGGTTTACCCACAGAAGGACATTAAATGTTCATGCAGGGTGTTAGGAGGGCATCAGGGCAATTCTGATTCTGGAGAATCATAAATGGTAAATAACAGTGAGGCCTAGCAACCTTTGGCACTTTATCTTTCAAGCCCTGCCGAGGATGTGGGGTACAGGGTGAATGAAGGAGTAACCTGGGCTTGGTCTGATCTCTAACCACTCCAGGCTGACTTGGGCCTGTGGCATCTACACCAAGCTGACTGCGGCTGGCCATACACTCAGAGACCAAATCCTTTGCTTTCCACTCCAGTGCTACAGCTGCTATTAGGATTTTCCCCAACTGCTTTTTCAGTGGGGATTCAATGTATCCGTGTGTGTGGTGTGTGTGTGTGTGTGTGTGTGTGTGTGTGTGTAAGTAAATTGATTTTAATTGCTCTTTAAATTGTTTCTCTTAACTCATCCTTCTCTCTGGCTCTTTGCTTCCTATTTATAAAATGATCTGAAGGCACATTCTGGCATTAGGTTTCCTGCAAGACTGAGGACGATAACACTTTCAAAACACTGCTCCTTTCCCTGTGGATCTTATTAGTAGTAGTCCCGTAGACTAGATACCAGATACAATGGATACACACCAATATCCGGCTTTCAGAAAACGTGGCGACTGTGGGTTTTCCTTGTTCCTCAGGCTTCAGGGACGTCTTGAGTTCTTGGCTTGCTCTGACTTTAGAGCTCTTTTTTGCTTTGATTGCTGCAGTTTTTTTCGCCTGCTTCTTTCTGATATGTTTCACTCTAAGAAAATAAGCTTTGGATTGGTTCTGGCTTTCCATCTCCCTGAATCCCCAAATGGGCTCTATCTTGACCAGAACTACTGATTTAGCGCCTCACCAACAGTACCAGCTTGCTGTATGACCCAGGGCAAGCGACATATCCTCTCTGGGAATTAGTTTCACACCTTGAATAATGGGGATACCCTGCTTATTAGGCTGTGGGGCTCAGATGAGGTCAGCTATGAAAGGGCCTTGCAACTGGTGGAGACATTATTACCGGTCTTTAAGTCCGGTTGATTATACTTTGAAAATAGCTCCTCCATTTGCCCTGCCACCTCACTCTTCATCTTTCTCTCCCCATAGCTGGCCATTCCCAAGTCCCACCTCCCTGGCTGCCCCTCATCACTTGCCCCAGATCAGGCCTACTGTTTCCTGCTTAGTCCCCTGCACCAGCTTCCTGCCTGACCTCTGACCTTCTGGCTCTCACTCTCTCTGTGTCCCACCCCAAGCTCAAGCTTTCCTCCACAGTTTAGCACTCTTTCATGGCTCCCAACTGAGGATTCAGTCCAAGCTGTCTGGACAGGCGCCCCTGCACGACTCTGTGGCCTGACTTCCTACAACTCAGCCCTTCTCACTCCAGGCTTTTAGCTAATAAGTCAGCTAAGTTTTAATACTTTGTGAACCAATGCCAAGGATGTCTTTCTACCTCATTTTTAGCCATTACCCGGCACTCTCAGTGCACCTGACGTTACACAAAGACACTGGAAATGCCTCAAGTATGCCCCTGGGCTTCTGCATACAAAGGGTGGGTATCCCTTATCTGAAATGCTTAGGACCAGAAGTGTTTTAGATTTTGGAGTATTTGTTTATACATAATGATATATCTTGGGTATATCATAAATGGTAAATAACAAAAGTATAAATAAGTATAAAATAAAACAAAAACAAAACCAGAATTCATTTATGTTTCATATATACCTCATACACATGGCCTAAAAGTAATTTTATCCAATATTTAAGATTATTTTGTGCAAGAAATAAAGTTTATGTACATTGAACTATCACATGAGGTCACTTGTGGCATTATGTCAGTGCCTCAAAAACTTTCGCATTTTGGAGCATTTTTGATTTTTGATTTTTGGATTAGAGATACTCAACCCGTATTTTATACACACACACACACACACACACACACACACACACACACATATACACAATTTTACTGTACTTTAAGTTCTGGGGTACATGTGCAGAATGTGCAGGTTTGTTACATAGTTATACATGTGCCATAGTGGTTTGCTGCATCCATCACCCCATCATCTACATTAGGTATATCTCCTAATGCTATCCCTCCACTAGGTCCCTACCCCCCAACAGGCCCCAATGTGTGATGTTCTCCTTCCTGTGTCCATGTGTTTTCATTGTTCAACTCCTACTTATAGGAACATGCAGTGTTTGGTTTTCTCTTCTTGTGTTAGTTTGCTGAGAATGATGGTTTCTAGCTTCAACAATGTCCCTGCAAAGGACATGAAGGCATCTTTTTTATGGCTGTATAGTATTCCATGGTGTATATATGCCGCATTTTCTTTATCCAGTCTATTGATGGGCATTTGGGTTGGTTCCAAGTCTTTGCTAAGTGCTGCAATAAACATACACATGCATGTGCCTTTATAATAGAATGATTTATAATCCCTTGGGTATATACCCAGTAATGAGATTAACCTATACTATTAATACTTTCCACCAAGCTAATGAGTACTTAGCCCTGCAGGCCCACCACAGACAGCACCCCGGGGACTTGCTGCTGCCTTCTCCAGGGCTGCCAAGCCCCTCCTTGACTTTTTCCTTTATAAAATGTACTGGAAGTGTCTGTTTTATGGTGTAGTTTTATGGCTCTGTAGATACAGAGCCATTGTCCTAATGGCCCTGGATTGTGGTGACTGTGTTTGGTGCCTCTTTCTTTCTTTAGACTCTAAGCTCCTTGAGGGGAGGAGTCCTGTCTTTGCTCTCTCTGAGCCAGGGCTGCGGCCAGGGCCTTCCGGGTAGTAGGCTCACAAGTGAATTTTAACCTTAGTACTCACATGAGAGGTAGGAGGCAGAGGAAGAGCAGCGCAATTACAATTCCCGCATAGATAGCACCCTGGATCAGCCCTTTCATGAAGGCCTGGGAAGTCAAAGAACTCTTTCCTGGAAGCAGAGAGCATGTGAGAAGTTTGGCATCGGAACCAAAACTCTGCTCCATTCTCTAGCCCCAGTGCCTGTCCCCATCCCCCTTATTGTCCTCACCCAGTCACCGAGCCCCCTCCACCCTCACTTGACATCAGTAGGATGCTCATAGCGTGGGTTCCGTTTTGGTTCTTCCCCTCACAGAGAAGTCTCATGCCCATTTCTGGCTCTTCAGTTAGGCTGATGGTGCTGTTAGCCCAGGGGCCAAGCATGGTGGAAATCACTTGGAGGCTGCCATCCATGCCATCCACACCCACAGGGACTCCTCCCATCCACCACTGCACAGAGGGTATGGGGATCCCATGGAAGGAACAGCTGCACTGCAGTGTCTTCTCCAAGGAGCAAGAGGAGTTGAGCAGCCTAGTAGGTACTGTGGGGAGGAAGAGTCAGGAGTCAGCAAGGCTTCCTGGCTTCCCTCCTCCAGTTTCTCCAGGATGCAGCCTTCTCTTTATTTGCTATTCACAAGGAGCTTCAGAAGGACTTTCTGGAAGCCCACAGGATTCAGGCCTCACAGATAAGTTCCCCTCTATCCTCTCTCCTCATTTGGCCTGAACCTGATCGTTAGACCTTCTTGAGGGGTGGCAAGTAAATTTTCTGAGGATCTGCATTGTCTGTGATCCCTCACATACCCAGCAAGGCTAGATGTCCAAGCCAGAGTGCCTACCCTGCTTCTCTTCTTCCCACCCCCAACTTTCCCTTTAGGCTCTGTGATCAATTTCTCCATCCATCACTTACAGTCTAGATGCTGCTGGACAAGTCACTTCCCTTATCATTGCTGTTTCCTAGCCTGGAAAATCAGGATGTTTGCTGAACCTCTCATATTATCTTTGCTATAAGAATAAATGCCCTGGCCGGGTGCGGTGGCTCACGCCTGTAATCCCAGCACTTTGGGAGGCCGAGGTGGGTGGAACACGAGGTCAAGAGATCGAGACCATCCTGGTCAACATGGTGAAACCCTGTCTCTACTAAAAATACAAAAAATTAGCTGGGCGTGGTGGCGCACGCCTGTAGTCCCAGCTACTCAGGAGGCTGACGCAGGAGAATTGCCCGAACCCAGGAGGTGGAGGTTGCGGTGAGCCGAGATCACGCCATTGCACTCCAGCCTGGGTAACAAGAGCGAAACTCCGTCTCAAAAAAAAAAAAAAAAGAATAAATCCCCAAGATTTGTAGTGCACCCAGCTCAGTGCATAGTGAAGTATTAGCCATTCAGTAAACACAACACCTTTCTCAATTTCCTTCTTCCCAGTCCCAAGTGGCCTTTGATGGAAGATTCAATGGAAGCCAAGAGTACTATGGCATCTTCTCATAAGAATGTTGGAAACAGCTTTGCTCTACACAGAATAGATAGGACATGTTGGCCATTTGATGAACATCAAGGATTAGGAAGGACATTCATCATTGTTTCCAATAACGAGGAATCCGTCTTCAAGTTTACATGTACTTTTTCATTGAGGTTGTTTGAGGTTACTGGAGGAAAGGGGTAATTTCCCTCTAACCAGTAGCTCTTGATCTTGGTCTCTTCACCCGAGTCACTTGGGGGTGCTGTTGAGGAATGTGCGGGGACCCTGATGCACAGCCCCCACTACAGCTATCCTCTGAACCTGTCTTTTCCATCTGGCAAAGTGTGCCCGTGGAAACGCTGAGAGACTTAACTTCAGGGCTTCCAGTAATGTCTGAAACAGCTATTAGTGCTGTCACGCCTTCACAGCACCTGCACTCTCAATCCCTCTCTCTTGCCCAATTTGCTATTTGCTTCAGACACCCCAGCCCTGTCAAGATCTGGCACACAGAAGATGTCCAATTCATATTGGTTATTTGGTACTTATGCCTGTATGTTCTCTTTCTCCATGCCTCCATAGTCCCATCCTCTGCCCCATCAACACCCAGGCCCTGGAGTCTTGGCTTCCAAACACACCTCAATGCTGCTTCCTACCTTACTTACCCAGCTGTAGCAGTGGAAGCATCATTTGCAGCAGCAACAGTTCTCAGGAACAGCAGAAGCTCTTTACTGTGCTGGCTTTGACATCAGAACCGTATTGCTCAGAAGGAGCGAGGTGATGGGTAGCTGAAAGAGGATGTGGGGATAGGGAGAGCAGAAAGTATTCTTAGCCAAGACAGGGGCTTCTGTCTCCAGTCCTCGTGAAGACCTGTTCACCTGGAGAAGCAAGAATTATATGGGATGAGATGCTCATGAGCATGGAGAGACAGGGAGGCAACTAAGATTTTCTGTGAAGACCCGGTGTCATGTCGCCTTTAGTCTTTGTTTTGTTCTTACACTGTTGCCCAGGCTAGAGTGCAGTGGCTTGATCTTGGCTCACAGCAACCTCCATCTCCCAGGTTCAAGCGAATCTTCTCTTAGCCTCCTGAGTAGCTGTAATTACAGGTATGCATCACCATGGACAACTAATTTTTCTATTTTTAGTAGAGATGGAGTTTCACCATGTTGGCCAGGCTGGCCTCAAAACAACTGACCCACCTTGGCCTCCTAAAGTGCTGAGATTACAGGCATGAGCCACCATGCCCAGTTTGTTTTTGTTTTTGAGACAGGGTCTTTTTCTCTCTCCCCCCACCCCCCACCCAGTCTGGAGTGCAGTGGTGTGATCCCTTAAGATAGATCAATTGGCCTGAACCTGATTAAGACAGAAAAGATAGAAAAGTGTTGACATCCTCTCAGAAAAAAATATGATAATGCTTAGTTTCGCGAGAAGTACAAAACAACATCTCCCCCCAAAGTATAATTGTTTTGCCATAAATTTGAAATGAATGCTGAAAGTAATATTATATAGCATGGCACAATGTTCCCTTTTATATTCCATGCAGATATTTATTTAATAAATTTGTTCTCAGTAAACTGCTATTAAAAAAAGAGATAGTGTGAGATTCTGTCTCAAAAAAATGGCCAATTCCAATTCCAACTGGATGTTGTGAGTTAAAAATCCATAGTAATTCCAGTCTGGGCAACATGAATACAAAAATTATCTGGGTGTGGTGGTATGTACCTGTAGTCCCAGCTACTTGAAAGATTAAGATGAGAGGATCACTTGAGGTGGGGAGGTTGAGTGAGCCGTGATCATGCCACTGCACTGTAGCTTGGACAACAGAGTAAGACTCTGTCTCAAAATAATTAAGTAGATAAATAAAATGCATGCATACATACATACATACATAGTAATTCCGAGAGTATGGTATTGACAGGAGGATAAATAAAAATTTCAATGAGACGGGCTCTCTGGTTGAGAAAAATACCTATACAGACATGGTCACTTGATTTAGGTTAAGTATGGCACTGCATAGGAGTTGTGAAAGGACTGTCTTTTGAATAAGTTGTGTCAGAATAACTGGTTAGCCATACAGACAAAAGAAATAAGACCCCTACCTTGTGCCATACATAAAAATAACTTCTAGGGACAATCGGAAAATCTTTAAACTTTTTTCTAGAACAGTGCTGTGTAAAGAAATATAATGTAAGCTATAAATGTGGACTACATGTGTAATTTCAAATTTTTTAGTGGCCGCATTAAAAAAGAAGACACGGTTAAAATTAAGTTTAATGATGTTTCATTTAACCTAGTGAAAGAAACCTAGGTTACTCACTAGGTTATTTATATTGAACCTCACTCTATATTTCAACATGCAATCAACACAAAATTAGTAAGATTTGTACATTCTTTATAAAGTCTTCAAAATCTTATATATATTTTACACTTACAGCACACTTCAATTCAGACTAGCCACAATATAAGGGCTCAATAGCCATATGTAGTTAGTAGCAACCAGATTGGTGAGCGAAATTCTTGAATACAACATAGGAGACTATCTTGGTAAGTTTTACGTAGGCAAAGACTTCTTTAAAAGGACCAAAAAGCACTAGCTATGAGGACATATGGATAAACGGACTGCATTAGAATTAATTTCTGCCTCAAAAGATACCATTAAGAGAGGATAAATGCAAGCTACAGGTCTGGAGAAGTTACTTGCAACACATACAACATGCTTGCATCCAGAACAACAACAAAAAGATCTTACAAGTCAACAAAAAGGCAGACAAATAGTAGACCTGAATAAGAAAGTCTGGAGCAGGGGCATCACAAAAGATTATGGCCAATACACAATTTGAATGATGCTCAAACTTATTAGTCGTCAGAGGAAGCAAATTAGAACCATAATGAGATACCACTACACACTCACAGTGACTAGATAGAAAGATTTATAATGCCAGGTATGTAGAGGAAATGAAATTACAGGAACTCAAGCTACTAATGGGAATGAAGGTTGGTATAATGATTTTTAAAAAACTGTTTGACATTTTCTACTTAATTTGAACATTTGAACCCTATGCTCTGGCAGTTTTACTCTCAGGTATATGCCCAACAGAAATTTATGAACTATGTACCAAAAGAAATGTACAAGAATATTATTCATATTAACACTATTTATAGATGTCTCAACACTCAAAACAATGAAGAGCAGTGAAATGGTTAAATAATTATCATATATTCATAAATGGAACTATATAGCAAACAAAATGAATGAATGAATTATAGCAACCACATGAATGAATCCCATATTGAATGAAAGAAGGCAGATACAAAATAATATGTTATAATTTCATTTAGAAATACTTCATAGTTCAAGATGAGGAAAAGTAATAAATGGTGTTAGAAATCAGGGTAGTGGTTGTCCTTAGCAAGGATAAAGAGGGTAATGGATGGTGTAGTACATGAGTGGTGTGTTTGGGTGTTGTTCATGTTCTATTTCTTGACCTCAATGGTGGTTACACTGGTCTGCTCCCTTTGTGATAATTTGAGTTGTATACTTATGATCTGTATTAATACTTCTCTGTATAAAATTGTACTTTGATTTAAAAGCTTGTTTGAAAATAAACACAGAAAAACAAACAGAAAGGATACCAAAGAGAATACAAAACAGTTGAGACAAATAGAAATCATGTACCTAGATGTTAGATTTAAACTCCAACACATCAGTGATTGCACCAAATATAAATGGCTTAAGTTGTCCGGTAATGGATCTAAGATCATCATACTGGAAAAAAGAAGCAAAGCCAAACTCTATGCTGTTTACAAAAGACCACAGCAAAGCATAAGTGTAAAGGACAATTAAACCAAAGAATGAAATCTATATACCACGCAAATACCGACCAGAGAACAGGTAGACATACCTACATTAACATCCCATAAAGTAGACTTTAAGCAAAAGGTACTACCAAAGATAGAATGGCATATCTCCTAATGATAAGATGACATAAACAGGAATAAAGTATATATTTAAAATTTGTGTTTGCCTACTAACATAGTCCAAAAATATATAAACCAAAAATCGACAAAAAAAGAGAGAAATCGACATCCACAATAGTAGTATGACAGTTTAATCACTGTTCTCTCAGAAACTGATAGGACAAACAAACTATTGGGATATATAAAGATTTTAACAACTCGATCAGCAAATTTGACCAAAAATCGATAGAGAATCCTGCAGTCAATAACTGCAGAATCCAATTTCTTTATAAGGATACAGAAAACATTTATAGAAATTGGCCATAGCTGGATCATAAGACATTTAAATCTTAACAAAATTTCCATGAAAATATTTAAAATATCATTAATAACCAGGGAAATGCCTGTTAAAACCGTGGGATACCAGTACATATCCAGCTGAATATTTTTAAAGACTAACAATATATCAAGTCTTGGTGAGAATGTGATACTCAACTTTCACACACTATTGGTGGCAATATAAATCAGGACAACAAAGTTATTTATCAAAGTAGAAAATACATGTACTCTATGACCCTCAGTTCCACTCCCAGATACATACTTTATTGAAATGTTTGTGCATATGTACACCAAAAAGCAAGGCAAAAATATTTACAGTGATATTATTTTAAAATAGTTACAAAGTTAAACAATCCAAATGCCAGTAAACATAGAATTTTAAAACATGAGATACTACACAGCAACCAAAACCTAAGAGCTAATGCTAGATGCAACAACCGGAACCATTCTTAAAATATTGAATGAACAAAGACAGACACAAATGAGTAATAATTTATGGTTGCATTTATTTAAAATGAAAGAAAAAAAACTGGGCAAAATCAAGTGTTTATGAATACATGCACAAATAATAAAAATCCTTTAAAAGTTGCCAAGAAATTTCCAGCATAAAAGTTAGGATATTAATTGCATTGTGGGGAGGAAGGAGGTCTGCTTCTCTTCTTATTATATTATTTATAGGGGCATGAACAAGTCTTTGGAGATACTGGCTATAGTGAATTCCATAAGGCTGTGCCCTATGTAGGCATCCTTTTAATAGTACAGTTTTCCATTGCCCATCTGCCTGCCCATATGGCCAGGCCATTGGGCACTGCCCATGAATTGGTAAAAACCCAAACATAGAGGCAATTCAGCTGACTAAAGTGACTTGTTTTTACCGTCTTCAATCTGAGTGTCAGTCTTCCAAACAGGATGTTGTTAATTCACTTTGGAATTGCCATCCATAAATCAAACAGCTCTTAGTTGGTCAATCAAGAGCTATTATTAGACATCGTCATCCAAGTAATAGGATCTAGCAGCTCTTCAGTAGGGAAAAAGAGGCCACCTGTTCATAAGTATAACGAATACCTCCTTGCATTTCCTTGGTAGCATTTTTCCTGTAAAAACAATTTCCATTTTATTACGAGACTCTTTTGGGCATGGCCTTCTTTACTACAGTGTTTTCCCAACATTACAAACACATCATGAGGATTTCAGGTGTCAGGATTATTATGTCCTTCAATGATGGGGCTTACTCAAAAGCCGGATAGGCAGCTAGTTGCCTCTCAAATGGAAATTCTCTGGCAAAAAAAAAATCCCAGCATTCACCACTAGGTGGCGCTCACTGGCCTTAGCGCCAGTCTGCCTAAATAAACCAAACACTAAGTTTCTAACATGTTTTGTCCACCAGATAGCCTGTACTGTTTCAAATTAACAATTAATGTGGGCTTAGGCAATCTTATTGGTTCCTATTTAGCATATTCAATCGATATTGGTTGAAGGGAAGATTTACGTGCCTTCTGTTTTATAGTAGTAGATGAGTTCTTCCCTAGTCGGACGTAATATCCTTCCTCTTAATACGTTTAGGTAAATACATTCACATAATACATTTACACAACGTCTAACGGTCCAGTTTTCATCCGAAGGTTCACCTGAATCTCATCAACTTTGGCAATCCTGTGTCTTTACAATCTAACTATAGATGCTATTAGAATTTCACCAACCTTTTCGGAATCGCAGTGTTAGGGGCTCCCACGTGAGTCCCAGAAATATCTCTTAACCATCCCCTATTTTACCACTAATGTGCATATGACTTTGGGTCCTCAGTTGGAGGTCAGGCCAAGCAACCCAGGCCCTTTTGTCGCTTATCTTGATTAGATCACATGTTCGTCCACTCAGGAGATACGAAGTCAGATTTCTCATCGTCATGTTTGCCTTCTGGCTTTTAAAATTCCTGCAAACTAGGGCAAATATAGCAGACTTGACTGGGGCCCTTCAACACTGGGGGACTAGTCTGGGTTCCCACTAGTCCACCTAATTTCTAGCAGTGCTCCGTTGGGACCTTTGTTTTGACTTCCTTAGTGTCCGCTTAACTCATCTCATTTCTCAACTGTTTCAAGATTTCCACCCTCTTGGAAATGTTCATCTTTTCTCACTCTCTGGTGAATAACTCTAATTTTCTTTGCCATCTGTCATTTCAGCCTAACTTTTCCCTTTAGCAGCAGCCCTGGGGCTGGCAGCTCTAGCTCAGGCTGGCCAGAGCCCAAGATGGGCCCAGCATCAGGCTCTGCCTCAGTCACTTTCATTTTAGCGATTACAGATTAAAATAGCGGAAGGATTGTCTATTTAGTTTGTTTCCTTATGCATCCAGTGGGTCAACTCCTTGGGGGTTGGATCCATTTTATTGAAAAAGCAATGGTAACTTTTACCTCTGATAACTGTTAGCAGAACAGCTGCATTTCTATACCCATGGGTGACCTGAGGACAATCCAGGAATCAAAGGCTCATCATCTTGATTTTACATTCTTCCTCTTCTCAAACCATATGTTTCAGTGAGTCACGGTTGTTTTAATGAATCCCATTTCTGATAAAACCGAAAAGTTAGGGAATAGTCCACAAGATGCCCCCATTTCTGACACCAACTGAAGATTTCAAGGATCCCTGATTATCCTCATTTCTCAAATCATTTGTAGGTTTTGAACCCCAAGACTGCCCTTGGGTTTGGTAATTCACTAGACGTTCTCATGGAATTCACTGAAAGCTGTTATACTCTTGATTACTGTTAACTACAACTAAAGGATAGTAGTTAAAATCAGCCAAGGAAAGACACACAGGGCAGAGTCCAGAAGTTGCACACACAAAGCTTCCAGTTGTCCTCTCCCTATGGAGTCATAGACAGCATAACTTAACTTTCTTAGTAATAATGTGTGACAATATGCATGGTACTGTCAGCTACAGAAGCTCACCCAACCCTTGTGTCCAGTGTTTTTATTGGGCCTCCATCATGTAACATGGTCGACTTCCCTCAAGGTGAATCTTAGTATCCAGCTCCTCCTGACGTTGAGCTGATACCACCTGATTCAAAGCCCCTATTCTAAATCATGTTGTTAGACTATCTGGTATGGTCTGCTTCTACTCTAAACCACATTGTTAACATTAACTGGTGTGGCCAGCCGTCACCCTAAATCACATTTTTAGAATATTCAGTGTGATGCAAGGTCCCTGAGCAGACAAAGATACCCCTATCAGGTATGACATTCTAAGAGCTTGAGAGTGTCTTCCAGAAGCCAGGGGCAAAGGCCAGACCTCTCCTCAGTCAAGGTTAAATTCCTTCCTCCACAGAATAAAATGTCAAATTCAGAAGAGCAGTTATGTCTATGTTTGAGAGTGGGAGATGTGTTCTCAAAAGGGAGTATAGCAGGGGTAGTGGTTCACTGTTTGTTTTTCTTCCTTCCTCCCTCCCTCCCTCCTTTCTTTCCTCTCTCTCTCTCTCCTTCTCTCCTTCTTTCTTTCCCCTCCCTCCCTCCCTCTATCCCTCCCTCCCTCCCTCCCTTCTTTCCTTCCTTCCTTCCTTCCCTGTCTTTCTGTCTTTCTTTGTCAGGGTCGTACTCTGTCACGCAGGCTCGATGGAGTGCAACAGAGCATTCACAGTTCACTGCACCCTCGACCTCCCAGGCTGTAGCAATCTTCCCACTTCAGCCTCCCAAGTAGCTGGGACTACAGGCATGCAGCTCCATGCCTGACTAATTTTTAAATTTATGTAGAGATGGGATCTTGCTATGTTGCCCAGGCTGGTCTCAAACTCCTAGGCTTGAGCAATCCTGCCACCTGGGGTTCACAAAATGCTGAGATTACAGGTGTGAGCTACTGTGCCCAGCCAGTGTTTTCAATATAATGCTGGTGGTGGGTATATGCTCATTATATCATGTTTATACCTTTCTATATGTCTGAAATATTTTATAAAATTTAAATGAAAACTGCATCATTTGTCATTTTTGTAAAAGCTTTATATATATGTATTTTATGTAAATATATACCTACATATTCATATATAACTATACATATGTGAATGAGTAAAAGATCTAGAATGATGTATAAGTTGATACCAGTGCTTACCTATGGTTAGACCAGTGATCATAGATGAGAGGAATAGAATTTTCAGTTTTTTAAATTCCAGCTTTATTGAAGGTACAACCGACAAATAAAAATTGTATATACTTAAGGTGTACAACATGATGTTTTGATGTTATGTACTCACTGTGAAATGATTACCACAATTCAGTGAATTAACATAACTATCACTTCACATTTACCATTTTTTGGTGTGTGGTGAGAACACTTAATATCTACTGTCATAAAGTGTCAAGTATATAATACATTATTATTTGCTATAGTTACCATGGTATACATTAAACCTCCAGAACTTATTCATCCTGCCTAACTGAAACTTCATACCCTTGACCAATATCTTATTTCCCTTAGCCCTCAGCCCTGGCAACCACCATTCTATACTTTGCTTTCATGCATTTGACTTTTTTAGATTCTACATATAAGTGAGATGATGTAGTATTTGTCTTTCTGTGTCTGACTTGTTTTACATAGCAAGCATAATGTCTTTCAGGTTTATTTACATTGTTGCAAATGGCAAGATGTCCTTTTTAAAGGCTGAATAACTTCCATTGTGTGTGTGTGTACAATAAATCCTCACTTAACATCATTAGGTTCTTGGATACTACTACTTTAAATGAAATGATGTATAATGAAACCAATTTTACCATATATGAGAACATGTGAACTCTACACAGATAGTGGCCCTGGCTAAGAAATTATTTTTTTTGTCTTAGACAGTGTTGAACAAAATGACAACATTTGAATGGTGTGTGTGTGTGTGTGTGTGTGTGTGTGTGTATACATATATAATATTTTCTCTACTCATCTATTAATGGACACTTAGTTGATTCCACATCTCGGCTGTTGTGAATAATGCTGCAGTGAACACAAGAGTGCAGCTATCTCTTCAAAATACTGAGTTCACTTCTGTTGGATATATACCTAGAAGTAGGATTGCTGAATCATATGGCAGTTCTATTTTTAATGTTTTAAGGATACTCCATACTGTTTTCCATAATGATCATAGCAATTTACATTTCCACCAACAGCGCACAAGCTTTACTTTTCCCTACATCCTCACCAACACTTATCTTTTGCCTTATTGATAACAGCCATCCAACTGGTCTAAGATGACATCTGTGGTTTTAATTTGCATTTCTCTGATGATTAGTGATGTCAGGCATTTTATCATATACCTGTTGGCCATTCTGTTATGTCTTCTTTAATGAAATGCCTATCCAGGTTCTTGTCCATTTTTTAAATTGGGTTATTTGATTTTTTGTTTTTTGGCTATTGAGTTGTTTGAGTTCCTTATATATTTTGGATATTAGCCCCTTATTAGAGGGATGCTTTGCCAATATTTTCTCCTATTCTGTAGGTTGTCTCTTCACTTTGTTGATTGTTTCCTTTGCTGTGCACAAAGTTTAGTTTGGTGTAATCTCATATGTCAATTTTCACTTTAGTTGCCTGTGTTTTTGCAGTCATATCCAAAAAATTATTTCACAAACCAATAATTTTCATTGTGTATTATATCGGAATATACAGAAGTTTTCCCCTATGTTTCCTTTTAGTAGTTTTACAATCTCAGGTCTTATAATTAAGTCTTTTTTGCCCAGGCTGGAGTGCAGTAGCACGATCTCGGCTCACTGCAACGTCCACCTCCCAGGTTCAAGTGATTCTCATGCCTCAGCCTCCCAAGTAGCTGGGATTACAGGCACCCACCACCGTGCCTGGCTAATTTTTGTATTTCTAGTAGAAACGGGGTTTCACCATATTGGCCAGGCTGGTCTCGAACTCCTGACCTCAAGTGATCCCCCGGCCTCAGCCTCCCAAAGTACAGGGATTACAGACTGTGAGCCACCGCACCCGGCCTCTTTTCTTTGGCCATCATGTCTCTCAATTTTCCGTCTGTCTCTTGTTCCAAATGGCTCCAGCATATTCTCTGTCCTCAGCACACTTCCATCTGTTTATTTCCTTAGCAGGGTATGTGAGATGCAAAGGTGTTGAGCTTTCTAAGGGAAGCGCTGACTTAGGAATGACTGACCTATTTAAGCTGAGTAAAAAAATTGCTTTTCCAGGGAAAGCCAGGATGACTAACAATGAAACAGATTGACACATGGGCTGTGTGATCACTGAGCGCTTTGCAGCGGTTGTTAACTTACCAAGAGACTGACTTCGCGGGAGCCTATAACCAATGAACAGGGCAGGCTACGAAGGGAGTGGATTCTCTGACGAACTGATTCCTAAGGGGGCTCACCCGACTCAGAAGGGCACTGACCTGATCGTGAACCAACGGGCCACTTGCTTCCCTTATTGGTAGACAGATGACGCCCCGGGTGCCCTCGGGCTGACCGGGTGACTGACGTGGTGGAGGCTGACGAACCCGGCCACGGGCTCCTGGCAAACCCCCTGACTATGCTTACTCTCACCGTCTGACGGATCCAGATTTGGCCTCTGTCTGACCGAAGGGCTTGCAGGGGCCTCCCTGACCCGAGAGCCGTCCTGGTGGCCTGACCGACCTGTGGCTGCCCCACGGCCCAAGGATCCGCTGACTGACCAAATGGAAGCCAAGTGACTGCGGTTTCAATGAAGGAACCCAGCAACCGCCAACAACTGCCAGGGACCCTACAACCGCCAATAAACCGCCAGGGACCCAGCAACCGCCAACAACCGCTAGAACCCAACAGCTGCCAGGGACACCCGACAGGCCAGGGACGGTCTTGTGAGGCTAGGTCTCAGCTGCACAGGGAAATGGGCGTGAGCCGCGACAGCCGCCATAGGACCTGCTCCCTCGCATCGTCAGGTGAGTGATCTACCCCACAGCCAATGAGCGGCTGCGTGGGCTTATTTTACAGCCAATCAGAGGCTGCATGGGCTTATTTTACAGCCAATCAAGGCTGCATGAGCTTATTTTACAGCCAATCAGAGGCTGCATGGGCTTATTTTGCAGCCAATCAAGGCTGCATAGGCTTATTTTACAGCCAATGAGCGGCGGCAAGGGCTAATTTTACAGCCAATCAGCAAGGCAGAAGGAGCATTGCGTCCGTAAGCACGTGCCCCTGCAGTGACAGGGTAGTTTGGGCTGCAGTTTCCTTAGCAAGGCATCTCTGGCCCTTGCTGATGAAACCATGCTCTTCTCCAACCCTGGGGACTCAGTTCCTCTTGTTTAACCCTGTTTATTTTTTCCTCACACTTTGTCCATTACACACTTTCTTACTCATTACACTTTCAAAATATGAGACGCGTTTTAGCCAGAGTAACTCCATCTGGAATAGGAGCTGGGTAAAATGAGGCTGAGACGTACTGGGCTACATTCCCAGAGGGTTAAGGCATTCTAAGTTACAGGATGAGAAAGGCAGTGGGCACAAGATATAGGTCATAAAGACCTTGCTGATAAAACAGGTTGTAGGAAAGAAGCCAGCCAAGGCTGGGCGTGGTGTAATCCCCAGCACTTTGGGGGCCAAGGCGGGCGAATCACATGAGTTCAGGAGTTCGCGACCAGCTTGGCCAACATGGTGAAACCTCCTCTCTACTAAGAACTACAAAAATTAGCTGGGTGTGGTGGCGGGAGACTGTAATCCCAGCTACTTGGGAGGTTGAGGCAGGGGAATCACTTGAACACAGGAGGCGGAGGTTGCAGTGAGCCGAGATTGCACCACTGCACTCCAGCCTGGGTGACAGAGCAAGACTTCTGTCTTCAAAGAAAAGATAAATAAATAAATAAGCCAGCCAAACCCCACCAAAACCAAGATGACCACGAGAGTGACCTCTGGTGGTCCTCACCGCTACACTGCCACCAGCACCATGGCAGTTTACAAATGCCATGGCAACATCAAGAAGTTATCTTATATGGTCTAAAAAGGTGAGGCATGAATAATCTACCCTTTGTTTAGCATGTCACCAAGAAATAACAGTAAAAATGGGCAACCAGCAGCTCTGTCTATGAGTAGTCATTCTTTTATTCTTTGACTTTCTTGATAAACTTGCTTTCACTTTACAGAATCGCCCTGAATTCTTTCTTGCGTGAGAACCAAGAACCCTCTCTTGGGGTC